GGTTGTTTCCATCTTTTTGCTATTGTGAACAATGCTGCCATGAACATAGGTGTGCATATGTCTATTCGAGTGACGACTCTTATTTCTCTAGGATATATTTGCTGGATCGTATGGTATTTCTATTTCTAGCTTTCTAAGGAAGCGCCATATCATTTTCCAAAGTGGTTGTATCATTTTGCATTCCTAACAGCAATGCAAAAGAGTTCCGATTTCCCCGCAGCCCCTCCAACATTTGTTATTTCCAGTGTTTTTGATTCGTGCCAGTAATGGTGGGGTGAAATGGTATCTCATGGTGGTTTTAATTTGCATTTCCCTAATGGCCTAGCCCTGCCATTTATTAGCAAAATGTCCTTAGGCAGGTTACCTATAATCTCATTGAGCTTCAGTTCTGAAAATGGACAAAATGGTACCTATCGTCTTAAAATGGCCAAATGAGAATAACTTGTGGAAGTGCACATGATAAATATTCAGGAACTTGGCTTCCTTTTCTTTATGAAACTTTAAAAATACTTTGGAGTGTAGACCATTGGTTTTGTGGTAGTTGTTGTCTGTGTTTATATGGTTTGTTTTGATTTTAAGCTAAATAATTGCCTCTGCAATATGTCTAAATGCCTGATAACAGGTATACCTTTAAAAAAATTAGGTGAATTTCATTGTTCATTTTTTCCAAATTCTATAAATAATCCCTTGGGCTCTGATTTGGATTAATTAAATTTATGGATGAACTAGACACTATTGAGTTCTTGGCCAGAATGTAGCTTATCTTCATTTACATATACATTTCTTTGTCTCTCATGTTTTGTAAATGTTTTTATGTTTTTTGTGTCCAGTGTTGAACTAATAATCAGTATTTAATGTTCTTTTTGCTATTTCCATAAAGTTTTAATTCCTTTCCTAATTATTTTAAATAATGGATACTTTCTTATTGCTTTGATCCCACTATGGTGGTATTTTCTCCAAAGGAGAACTTTTTTTATTACATCGATCCTTGTTTGGTCAGCTGATTTCAAATTCTTCTAAAATGGTGGAGTCTCTCTACTATGCCACTGAGCCACTTGTATTGTTAAATATTAAAATATTAAGAGCTTCTGTTACTAGGTATGCAAATGTCATGAAAACATTCTTATTTATTGCTTAATAGTGAAAGCTTGTTGTGAATTTGAGTATATATATATATATATTTAAAAAAAACAAAAAACCATTGGTGACCTAGGCATTTAGGTCAAGCATTTATATCCCTAAATAAGTGAATACACTTTAACTTAGAATATGTGCTAAGTTAGCCTTTTTTCTTCCCAGCTGGAGTCGAGATGGTCATAAGCTTGTGAGTGCTTCCACTGATAACATAGTGTCACAATGGGATGTTCTTTCAGGAGACTGCGACCAGAGGTTTCGATTCCCTTCACCTATCTTAAAAGTCCAGTATCATCCACGAGATCAGTATGTTTAACTAAACTGTTCCTTTCCTGGGGTGGGGTTTAATTCCCTATGGTTTAGTGCCAGGCTCATGAAAATTTCAATTTAAGGTTTCAGGGGGGCCAAAAACACATCTCTTCAAACCCTGTACATAAAATAATCTGTTTGTTTAGGTTAGCTCTACTGAATAGATTAATTTTAAGAAGACTGTTGTATTATACAATTAAAAAGTGACCATATTAAAACTTTGGAAATGGACAAATGTGGGAATAAGTGTAATAATTAGGCCTTGACCTGGCATTTCCCTCCAATCCCCCAAGAAATATGAATTTCTTTAGTAGGGGGAAACAGTTTAATATTACAATTACATTTAAGAAGAAAAATTACCCGCCATTTCATTACCCAGACATTACAGATGTAATTTCCTTTCTCTGGGTTCCCTTTTAGTCAAATTCTTCTTTAAATATAAAGCAAAGCACTTATGTGCATACTAAGTCTATATAAGTGTATATTTTTTATATCATTGTAATCAATATTTTGTTTTTTTCACTTTATTTCATATATATTTTACTAGTTCTTCATATTTATTTTTAATGATTACATATTATTTCATCAAGGTAGATTCCATAATTTTACTCCATCATTTTCTTGTTATTAGACATTTAAGTTCTATGCTTTTTTGCTATTTTAAATTTGCTTGGGCTGGGGAAGTTGATGGGATAGAGGCCAGGGATCAGGGAAAAGGGCAGGGAATCAGCCTTCTGACAGCAAAGCTGCAAGCCAATGTACTGTCCGTATTCTTAAACAGGAACAAGGTGCTGGTGTGTCCCATGAAATCTGCTCCTGTCATGTTGACCCTTTCAGATTCCAAACATGTTGTTCTGCCGGTAGATGATGACTCTGATTTGAACGTGGTTGCGTCTTTTGATAGGCGAGGAGAATATATCTATACAGGAAATGCAAAAGGCAAGGTAAGCCTAGAAGGTGGTAAGATAAGCATCTGTCATCCTGTGCATTAGCTCATTTCATGTTTACTTGTTCTTCTTCTTAGATTTCTCCTGTCCCTGGACTAAGAACACAGCTCCTACCTGTAGCAGATGTAGCCTGTTTTCCTCACATGCTTTAGTAATAATTTCTGTTCTTTGAATTTTAAGTGGCCAGAGATTATTTGATCAAGAAAAGAATAGGAGGCTTTTACTGAATGCTAGTAATGTAGGCTCATTACTAAATTATAAAATTTAAATGTCGTATTATCAAATGGAACACTATTAATGAAGTGTTTGATATCTAGTTCTGTAAATACGGTATAATTCAAGGCAGCTTCATCCATAATCCTGAGACTTTATTATCCTTTTTTTCCCCTTCTGTTAAACTTCTGGCCTTGTCTTTTGGAGAGTTGGGAAGGTCTAGCACCTTCTGTCTCGGCTATGCTATAGAAGACATTTGTTCTGTGGAATTGGAAGTCAGGCTAGGTGAGCTTTAATGTCCCTTTCAAGCCTAGTCTGTAATTCCGTTAGGTACCTTGATTTTTTTTGGACTGGGTCCATGGGCTAGTACAGTTTCATGACGTGTAACTTCATGACTACTTTAGAAAGTAGTTATTTGATCCTCTGATTTTTTTCCTCCCTTGGGACCCCATAAAATTCTGACATAGTGATTTGTTCTCCCTCCAAATAGAGTTTTGTCTTTCTTTAAAGACCAATCGTTTCATGTTAAGCCTAGTTAACTGAAAGTTTGGTGGTTCAAACCCAGCAGCCACTCTGTGGGAGAAAGATGTCACAGTCTATGTCCATAAAGATTTACAGCCTTGGAAACCCCATGGGGCAGTTCTACTTTGTCCTATAGGGTTGCTGTGAGTTGGAATCAACTTGATGGCAGTGGGTTTGGGTTTGGTAATGGATGTGCAATAGCAGAAAGAATATGAGGTAAACGTTACACTTGAAGAATAGATTGTTAAGACGCTGTACTTTCTTTGAAGGGGTAAAATGCAATACTAGTTAATCGGGTTGAATAAATGGGAATAGAGATATTTATGTTTTTACCCAGTCTCTGCCCAGTTTTAGAAAGAGAAACCAGATCTCATTACTGTAAGTTATCAGATTACTTACTTATTTTCTCCTTTAAACTTTAGATTTTGGTCCTAAAAACAGATTCTCAGGATCTCGTGGCTTCCTTCAGAGTAACAACTGGAACCAGCAATACTACAGCTATTAAGTCAATAGAGTTTGCCCGGAAGGGGAGGTAAGGGAGACCTTGTCGTTTTAGGGACAGTTTTAAGTTTTAAAAGTGATTAGAAGTTAAGAGTGCATTGAGATTCATGGTTTTTCTATAATTATGCTTCAATTTTTTAAAGTTTAGTTAAAAAAGATGACTACTGTATTTTTACACAAATAACGCGCACCTTTTATCTTTGTTTGCCAGCCATGCCTGGGAGGTATTTTCTTAGGCGCCCCTATGCCAATGTTTTTTACATGTTACTACAAAAAATTAGCATATCTTGCTTATGAAAATACCTTACAGGGGTGGGAGGAGGGCATGATTGGCAAACAAAAGTAGAAGGCATGCATTATTTGCATAAAGTACGGTAGAAGCCTTACAATATTTAATTCATGGGTTCATAAAATTTACTTTATTGAACCAGTAGCCACATCTTCGTTCCTTAACTGGAGGTTACCAGGCAGCTCCTTTACAGAAATGACACCTGAGTGGTTAGTGCTTAGAACCAAAAGCACTGGCACATTGTAAGCACTGGATAAGATTAGTTATTGTTATAATTAGAATTGATGTTACAGAATTCACGTAGTAACCGAGCATGCACTTTACTCACATAAAACCTGTTTACCTTTGTGATTTCAGATGTTATTCTGATAGATTTGGTTACCTAGTTAGAAGTAGACGTATCAACAGAAACAAGAAGAAATAAGTTGTCAGTTGGAGAGGTACCAGGCATCCTTGTTACATGGGCCAGCCTCGCACACCCAGGACACGAATGCTCACAATCTCCGGAGTTAGGGAAGGTTGCAGTCAGTCTTCTGTAAGAAGGTGATGAAGTAAATTATACTTTAGACAGAGTTCCAGTGTCATTACAGTGAAAAGTTAGGCATTTTAAAATGACATATTTAGTTTACTAACTCATTAAGAATATATTGTATATAAAACAGGCCAGAGAAATGAAGTATTTATATATATTTAACTATAGTCTTGTGAATTTAGCAAGTTAATTTGAGTTTAGAAGTCTTGGATCTCAGTCAGATACTGATAGTTTGCGCATATGTAGTTCATAAGACATGTTCTCACTTCAAATTATATTTTGATTTGAAAGGTGACAATACGTAAGTATTCTAGTTTATTACTTAGATTTTTACCCAGTCTTTCAACTTGTTAGTTGCTTTCCTGTTCTGAGTAACTGGTAGTAATAGAAAATGTTAACAGGAACAAATGTCTGACCTCTGGCATTGATGTTTTTATCCTTTCTGTAGTTGCTTTTTAATTAACACAGCAGATCGAATAATCAGAGTTTATGATGGCAGAGAAATCTTAACCTGTGGGAGAGATGGAGAGCCTGAACCTATGCAGAAATTGCAGGACTTGGTGAACAGGTGTGTATCACAGCCAAGAAGAACATGTGATACTTCATGACTGGGACTCAAGTTCCAGTTTTCCTTGGGTGCTTTCTTTGTCCTTTAGGACCCCGTGGAAGAAATGTTGTTTCTCTGGGGACGGGGAGTACATAGTGGCGGGTTCAGCCCGGCAGCATGCCCTGTACATCTGGGAGAAGAGCATTGGCAACCTGGTGAAGATTCTCCATGGGACCAGAGGAGAGCTCCTCCTGGACGTAGCTGTGAGTGGAATGGGAGGTGTTTTTTGTTAGGTGTATAATCCATAAAATCTTGAATCTATCTTAGAACCTGTTTTTCTTTCCTTTGTTACAATTTAGTGGCATCCTGTTCGACCCATCATAGCATCCATTTCTAGTGGAGTGGTATCCATCTGGGCACAAAATCAAGTAGTGAGTATTTTTCTGGTTTATTTGCTTTGAAAGTAGATAGTCTTTATTTTTATCAAAGGACTTTTACATATAGTAAGCTGAGAATTACCTTATGTGCTTTCTTTCTCTGGCCTGTGATTCTTGCAGCCTGATAATAGGTTCAGTGCATCAAGTTTTGCTTAATTTTGGTGGAAAGGTCTTGGTCCAAAGCTGACCAGCTCTGTTTTCAAGGAGAATGTCTAGTACACTTGCTGTTACATTTTTCTATTACCTATCTGAGATATATTTTTCCTTTGCTTTTCTTACATTTAGCCCAGTTAGTTTTTGTTTTACATCTTGATTTTATTTTTGATCACCTTTAGATCATTTGTAATCAGTGTGCTTATAAGAAAGTTTCTAACATTTTACCTCAAAACTACATCTTAAAAAGATTGGAGAAGGCATTTATTTATGTCAGAGCTACAGTCAATAATTTGGAATGTTTAAGATAGGAAATGTCTTAAAATGTATCTTAATTTGATTCTTATCTGCCAAATTTGATTTCAGAATTAAGTCTCTTCCATGTTCACATTTTCATTTATATCATTAATGTCTAGATTACAGATTAGATTGCTTTCTTACTGTGTTATACAGCATATTTTGTTTGTGGCCTAGGAAAATTGGAGTGCGTTTGCACCAGATTTCAAAGAACTGGACGAAAATGTGGAGTATGAGGAGAGGGAATCTGAGTTCGATATTGAAGATGAAGATAAGAGTGAGCCTGAGCAGACAGGTAATATTTCTCAATTGCAGATGGTACTTCCTATAGGAAGAATGATTGCTTTACATAGTACTCTCTCTTAAATTGTGTTGCAAATTTATTGCAGCACTTAGTCTAGGATGTCTTCTTTTTCCTTTAAGCTTACTAATAAGTTTTCACAGTGTTTTGAGAGTCTTAATTTGTAGGCATTAACCTGGGACTGACCTGGGTATTACTAGGGCTCAAGCAGCAGTTTGAACTTTGCACTTTGTAATTTCCAGGTTAACTGCAGGATTAGGGAGGCTTTCTATGGCCAGTGCTTGGCTGCGGCACCATGTCGCTCTTTTGTCAGGCAGGTGAGGGGAGCAGCAGAGACTGAAGTCAGACTGCCTTGGGCAGAATACTTATTCTTTAATCTTGAATTTCCTCCTCTATAAAATAGAGGTGATAATAGTACCTACCTGTTAGGGTTGTGAGGAATAAATGAGATAATTCACGTAAAGCACTTAGTATAGTACCTAGCTACCATACTTTTTAAGCATGCAGGTGTTATTTTCTCTTACGATGATAATCATCATCATTGTTATTTTTATCTCTTGTCTTCTAAACTAAGTAGGAAGCTCCTTGAGAATAAAGACTTGATTTTTTTTCTATTTGAAAAATTTTATTTATTTTGTCGTTGAGAATATACACAGCAAAACATAAACCCATTCAAAAGTTTCTGCATGTACAATTCAGTGACATTGATTACATTCTTATAGTTATGCAACCATTCTCACCCTCCTTTTCTGAGTTGTTCCTCCTCCATTAACATAAATTCACTGTCCTCTAAGGTTCCTGTCTAATCTTTCGAGTTGCTGTTATCAGTTTGATCCCATATAGATCTTAAAAAAGCATAATGCTAAAGGCAGACATTTTTTGCTGGTTAAGCTAAACTAAGAAGACTTCAGGGGGTATTTTTGGTTTAAGGTTTGAAGATTATCTCAGGGTAATAGTTTCGAGGTTCATCAAGATTTGACTGATCCCCATGGTGCCTTTGCAGGGCGTTACACATAGTAGAGGTTGGTGTGTGTGAATGCTGAGTATGCCCAGTTGGTGCTGTCAGTGAGCACTGTAATGCCGCAGACCACTGACTGCTGGGCCACTGCAGGTGCCAGGAGTCAGGATCGCTGGTAGTTCTCTCTGGCTTGAAAGTGCTGAGCCTCACTTTTGTGGTATTAGCTAACTCGCACGCTCCATATGCTTTAGGAAGACCACCAGGGATGCAGAATATTTGAAATTTTACTGGTAGTTTTGGATTATGTTCTCTGAAAGCCTTTCCAAATTCCACGTCTAGAGTTCGTTGTTCCTCCTTCTGTCTCCTTAGCACATTGCACATACCATTACTAAAGCACTCACTGTATTAAATGGAAATAATCTGTTTGCATCTGTCTCCCCAGTTAGCCTATAGAGCTTCCCTGAAGAACCAGCCCCAGCTTTTTGGTCTGTCTGACCACTCTATCCCCAGCGCCTGCCGTGTGGTGGGAATTCAGCAAATGTTTGTTGAATGATTACGTGAACTGGTCGGCTTTCCTCCTTCGTTTCTCCTGGATTTCAGTGCTTGAAAATCTTAACCTGCAAGTAAAGAAACGGTTTTCCACTTTTCCTCAAACCTCCTCTCTGTTTCTGTCCTGCAGGGGCTGATGCTGCCGAGGATGAAGAAGTGGACGTCACCAGTGTGGATCCTATTGCCGCCTTCTGTAGCAGGTGAGCCAGCACTGAGGGCTGGGCACCTAGGCCTTCCCTGTCTTCAGTCTCTGGTATTCAGCTGCTAAACCCCCCCTGGCCATCCCTTCAGCCCCACCTGCTTATTAGCCAAAAGAGAGAACTTCTTTGGTTTACAAGAAATATATTTAGTCTTTATTCTCTAATCCTAGTTTCCACTCTCTTCTCCCACAATAGAGAATTTTAAGAAACTGAAATAATCCATTTCTTTTATTTTTACTACTAATTTTATTAATCATGCTGTCCCATTTCCATTTTCTCATCTTGACTTTCTTAAAGTTCTAGATTCACATACCTAGTGCTCATGATTAATGTAGGTGATTCTGGCCTGAAGGAAGGGTTCATGGTTTAAGCAACTATCTCCTCTTTTTTCCAATCCCTGTCTGATCCTCTTCCAAATAGTGATGAAGAGCTGGAAGATTCAAAGGCTCTGTTATATTTACCCATTGCCCCTGAGGTAGAAGACCCAGAAGAAAACCCATATGGTCCCCCACCGGACGCAGTCCAGACCTCCTTGATGGATGAAGGGGCTAGTTCAGAGAAGAAGAGGCAGTCTTCAGCGGATGGGTCCCAGCCACCTAAGAAGAAACCCAAAACAACCAATATAGAACTTCAGGGAGTACCAAATGATGGTAAAGAGCCACATCTCTCTGTTGCCTTACAGATGCCACTTTGTACTGTCCAGTATGATCTGATAATTTCCTGTTTGGGCGATTTTGCCTTTAAAAGAATTTTCCCATTAGTCTTTTTCATAGTGCTTTACAGGTTTGTAATGATTTCATCTACATTCATTTCTCTCCTTTTTAAAATATTTTACTGTGTTTTTGGTGAAAGTTTACAAAAGAAAGTAGGTTCTCATTTAACAATTTCTGTACATATTGTTCAGTGACATGGGTTACTGGTTACATTCTTCACGATATATCAGCATTCTTGTTTTTTCCATTTTGGTGGTTCTGTTTCCATTAATCTAGCGTCCCTCTCCCCCCTAGCCTTCTCATCTTTGGTCTAGGGTAAATGTTAGCCATTTTGCTTCAGCTAGATGATTATTTTAAGGAGCACAGTACTCACAGGTGATATTATTTATTTTATGGGCCAATCTGTCATTTGGCTGAAAGGTAACCTCTGGGAGTGGTTTGAATTCCAAGTTTAAAGAGTATCTCAGGGCAATAGTCTTGGGAGTTCATCTAGTCTCTACCAACCCAGTAAGTCTGGCCTTTCTGGGGGAATTTGAGTTTTGTTCTACATTTTTCTCCCATTCTACCTGGGACCATCTATTGAGTCCCTCGTCAGAAGCGTTGGTATTGGTAGCCAGGCACCATCTAGTTCTTCTGGTCTCAAAGTAGGTGATGTTGTTTGTGTAAATTATTGCCCCTGAGGTAGAAGACTAGTTTCTTCTTTGAGTCTTTGGTTTCCTTCTTTCTCTTTAGTTTTGGACAAGTAGAGACCAATAGGTGTATCTTAGATGGCTGCTTGCAAGCTTTTAAGACCCCAGACGCTACTCGCCAAAGTAGGATATAGAACATTGTCTTAATGGACTACGTTATGTCAATTGACTGAGTTGCTCCATGAGACTATGGTCCTAGGCCCTCAAACTCAGTAGACCAATCCCGTGAGGTGTTTGGTTGTGTCTAGGACGTATCCGTAACTGTACCCCTAGGTGCTTTATTTTATACTTGAAAATATATGCAGCATACCGAAACATGTATATACGTATGCCTACAGTCATTCATATATGCCTTCCTGTACATATTTATGCATACTTACATATCTATTTAACCAAACACATTTTTAGTTGTTATTACTGTTGCAAAATTTTATATCTCCCAGTAATTTTTTTTAATACAAATTTCCAGATAAATTGTTCATTGACATTAGTTACATTTATCACAGTTTGTCAGCGTTCTCTTTAATTGTGTCTATACCCTTCTATTTGTGCTTTCTTTTTTTTACTATTTATTTTATTTTGGATGAAAATACACATCATCCACCCATTCGACAATTTCTGCATGTACAGTGCAGTGACGTTGGTTACGTTCTTCACACTGTGTCACCATTCTCACTGTCTCTCCCCATATTGTTTCATCACCATTAACTTAGACTCACTACCCCATAAACTACTTACCTATTACTGTTGTCAGTTTGATCTGATATAGATAATTCTTTAAAAGAGTGCAGTGCTCAAGGCGAACATTCTTTACTAATTTAGCTAAACTGTTGTTTAGTTAGAAGATGATTTCAGGGGATAGTTTCGGCTTAAGGTTCAAAAATTTTCTCAGGTCAACAGATTCAGGGGTTTCTCCAGTTTCAGTGGGTCCAGTAAATCTGGGTTCTATAAGAAATTCAAAATTCTGTTGCATGCCCCCCGCCCCCGCTTTTGATCAGGATGCCTCTGTTGAGTCCTTGATCAAAACATAAGTAGTGGTAGACCTGCAGTCCAGTTCCATTTCCGATTCTGGATCTCCTTCCTCTGCTGCGCCAGGCGAATAGAGACCAACTATTGTATCTTGGATTGCAAGCTTGTAAGACCCAGGCACTATTTACCAAACTGGGGGGTAGAACAGAAACTCTTAAAAACCATTAGGCCAGTTGGCTGGGCAGTCCCACAAAGCCATGACCCTAAGCCTTTGAACTAAAAGAACTAATCCCATGAGGTGTTTGGTTGTACCTAAGCAGTTATAGAAACTGCATCCTCGTTTTTTTTCGTTTGTTTGTTTGCTGCTGATGTTGTAAAATCATACGTAACACGACATTTGCCGTTTTGCCCTTTTTCTGGCATACAACGTAGTGATATCAGTTACGTTAGTCAGGTTATGTAACTAATGCCGTTCATTGATGCCAATTTTCCTAGCACCATAGATGTTAACTCACTACTTCCCAGAGAATAATTCCTCTCTCCCTCCTTCCCTCCCGCCCTAGGTACCACTAATGACATTGGTCTCTATATTTTTACCTATTCTTGTCACCTCATATGAATGAGGTCATACAGTATTGTCTTCTGTGATTGTCTTATTTCACTCAGCATAATATCCTCAAGGTTCATCCATGTCAAAGCATGCATCAGGTCTTCATTTCTATTTATGGCTGAGTAGTATTCTGTTGTATGTCTGTACCACATTTTGTTTATCCATTCATCTGCTGATGGGCATTTAGGTGTTTACACCATGCTATTGTGAGTAGTACTGCTATAAAGTAGGTATATGTATCTTTTCACATCACTACTTTTAGGTCCCTAGAGTATATACCTAGGAGTGAAATTGCTGGATCATATGGTAGCTTTATTTTTAATTTTTTGAGGAATAATCATACTGTTTTCCACAATGGTTGTACTGTTTTACATTCTCACCAGCAATGTATAAGGATTCTGATCACCCCACATTCTTGCTAACATTTGTTATTTTCTGTTTTTTTGATAATTGCCATTCTAATAGGGCTTAGGTGGTATCTCATTGTAGTTTTGATTTGCATCTGTCTAGTGGCTAATGGAAACCCTGGTGGCATAGTGGTTAAGTGCTACGGCTGCTAACCAAAAGGTCAGTGGTTCAAATCCACCAGGTGCTCCTCGGAAACTCTATGGGGCAGTTCTACTCTGCCCTGTAGGGTCGCTGTGAGTCAGATTGACTTGACAACAATGGGTTTGGTTTGTTTTTTTAGTGGTTAGTGTTGCTGAGCATCTTTTCGTGTGTTTGTCGGCCGCTTGGATAGCCTCTTCGGTGAAGTGTCTTTTCACATTCTTTGCCCATTTTTGATGGGTTATTTGTCTTTTTGTTGTTAAGTTGCAGCAAGTTTGCATATGTTTTGGATATTAGACCCTTATTGGATATGTGGTTTCCAAAGGTTGTTTCCCAATCTGTCTGTTTTACTCTTTTGATAGAGTCCTTTGGTGAATATAAGTATTTAATTTTTATGAGGTCCCAGTTATTTATTTTGTCTTCTGTTGCTCATGGATTTGTTGTATTTGATAATCTATCATTAAGGAAAACTAGGTCGCATAGCTTTTGCCCTTATATTTTTTTCCAAGAACTTTATGGTTTTAGGTTTAACATTTAGGTCCTTGATGCATTTTGAATTAGTTTTTGTGTGAGGTATTTCTCTTTTAAAATTGGGAAATCCTGCACTTCAGTACCTTGCCTAAGTTGAAGACACACTTTAAATCTTCTGACACCTGGGTCCTGTAATACTGCTTTTTCTTTTCTTTTTCCATAGAGTGTATTTATTAGGTGGCAAAGCACTAATCAGACTTGGACGGTCTTTTCATTCTTCCTGCTTACTTTTACGCTGTGACTGTGGAAGTCTTTGCTGGCACTTCCTGGGATGGGGGTTGGGGGGGCGTGGGATAGGTGGGTGGGTGTGAGTATCTGCCTGTGGGTGGGGGTGGGGGTCTGCCTGGGTGTGTGTGGGGGGTGTGGGGGCTTGTGGGGGGGTGGGTGTGTATGTGTGTGTCTGTGTGTGTTTACTCTTGGACCAGATCAATTAATTATGTAACTGCACATTTCACTGATGCTATGGATTGTGTACCTCCTCTTCTCCTCCAGTCCAGGCACTTTTGTGTATTTTATATACAATTGCCGATTTTTACATCAACCCTGCAGGTTGTTTTACTATCCCTGCTTTACAGAGGAGAAAATTGAAGCTATGTGACTTGCCCCGGGTTTCACAGGAAGTGGTGAAGTGAGGATTCTTACTTGTCTCTCTAGTTCAGGGCCCATCCCTTTCTACTCTCCCATGCCCGTCCGTGTGCACTCCTGTTTTGGCTTGACTGGATCAGCTACCTTTTCAGTTGAGAGCTGATATGGCTTGGTGTGAACTCTATAGGCCACGTGTGTCCTTTGACCAGGTAACTTCCTCATTTTACAGGTACTTTTAGTGAACCTAGGACACAAGAGCAACATTGTTTGCTTATTGCTAGGTGGCATGGCAGGTCTCTGGTAGGGGTGATGGCACTGGTGGTGTGTGGATTCCTTTCCATGTCTATGTGTCCTTTTGCAGAAGTCCATCCGCTACTGGGTGTGAAGGGGGATGGTAAATCCAAGAAGAAGCAAGCAGGCCGACCTAAAGGATCAAAAGGTAAAGAGAAAGATTCTCCATTTAAACCGAAACTCTACAAAGGGGACAGAGGTTTACCTCTGGAAGGATCAGCGAAGGGTAAAGTGCAGGCGGAACTCAGCCAGCCCTTGACAGGTAAGGACACGCTGGGAGCGCTGTCTGGCTTGCTTCGTGGCCTTGCTTTGTTCAGCCCTTAACTCGGTTTAACTGCACCATTGTTTTCTTCCTCCCCTCCTTTTCCTGGGGGCGTATATTCTGAATTTTAAGCTGCTGCTAAGGGCAGGCTAAACCAGATCTGGCTTAATTCGGTGGCTCTTAACCTTGAGTCCATAAATAAGTTTCAGGGGATCTATGTTTCCCTGACATTATATACAAAATATTGTGTGAATTTTTTTTCTGGAGAGTAGGTCCATGGTTTTCATCAGATTTCAGTAAGAATCCATGACTTAAAAAAGGGTAAGAAACCCTGGTTTAATTCATTTCTTGGTCTGCGTTTGCTCCTAGTTTTTTTTTTTTTTATTCCCTCCTCAAATGAAAGAGCAGACAAAACTGGAAACATAAGCTTGCTTTATACAGCCCCTGACTGTTCATTGTAGCAGCTTTCCTCCCTCTCTCCAAACTGCTCCGATCCTGAGTTGGTGGTGTGCTTTCTCCCCCTAGTCTAGACGCAGTAATGAAGTTGTTAGTAGTACCATCATGTTAAAGAAGAGGATGAGGTGTTTTTTCCAGGATCTGAAAACAGGAGAAGGCTATTAAAAAAGACAGAAATTTATGGTGTCTATGTAATTTCTTAACACCTAAGCCTTTTGAAATTTAATAGTTAGGTTTTCTCACTTTTACATGATAGAGGGGTGTTTTTGGGGATGAAGAACAATTTCAGTTTCCTATCGAATACTTCTGAACCTAGGCTACATGGTCTCTTGTTTGGAAAATATTCATCAAATTAGAGTCCATTTCTATTGAGACATTGTTGAGTTTTGGAGGTTTTTGGTTTTGTTTTATATATAAGCATGCTTTAGTTGATATGATACTCCCGATTTTCTGTGTCTAGGTCAGTATGCTCAGAGGCAGGATTGATTAAATATCAGTGATGGTATTCAGTATTGTTTGTTTTGCTACTTTAAAATTTTAGCTTAAATGTGTTAATCCAAATGTGGATATACACTAGAATGTAAAACAGAATTCCTTGTCTCACATACACCTTAAGTCAGTTAATCATTGTCCCTGAACGTGAATTCTCTTCTACAGAGAATCTGAAACAGACTGAGTTGTTCACTATTTTGATTGTTCCACCTCAAGTTTGTTAGATTTAGACTTCAGTTTTCAGTAGCCTAACACCATACCACTGAGTAGCAGCATCCTTTTTCCAACAAGAATATTTAGGTACACCATTGATAATCAGTTACCACCTCCACACTCAATCCACCTAAGACCGTGTCTGAATGTATTTAAAAATAGTCCTGGAAGAGGCATATGTACATTGCCAACAGAGATTTCAGATCAGTAATCAACCAGAGGTAAATAAAAACAATCCTTCCATAACCTTCTTCTTGCACAAGCTGATGCCACTACAAAAGAAACACAATTTAAAGTTCAAATAGATTTCCCCGTCCCACAGAGCTTCAGGGCGACTTACAGTGTGACCGGACATGCTCAATTAAACACTGTAGGACAGTCTCCTGGTTTCTTCAAAACTGCGTCTAATTAATTATTTGCTTTTCAGTAGTAAGTGTATGATAATGAAACCTTTTAAAAGTTTTTAAAAATCACGTTTTCCTCTCTATTATACAATGATTTTAACTTCTTATTATAGTTAATGTGGCCGCTAACAGTGACTTAATATCTTTGGCATTTCCCAAATTGGGTTTCTGTCAAAGGCTGTATGAAGTACTCTTAGGTTTTACAACCAAGACTACAGCAGCAGTGGTGTTTCTCAGCTATGCTTCAAAACGTCTAAATGAGAATCACAGTCAAAATGTTGGAAAGGTTACTTGGCCTTAAAGATGTGGGCCTTTTAATTCCCTAAAATTTTCAAACCACTGAATACGTATACTCACCATTGAGTGGATTCTGACTCATAGCGACCCTATAGGACAGAGTAGAACTGCTCCATAGGGTTTCCAAGGCTGTAATCTTTACAGAAGCAGACTGCCACATCTTTCT